TTTATTTTTCTCAAGTTTATTAAAATAATAAGAAATAAATTTTACAAATTAAAAAGCTGAATGTGAATGAAATTAAAAAAATATAATTTCATAAATTATCTTAAATAAAATAAATAATATAAATCAAATCTAAAAATAAAAGATGAAGAAATTAAAATAATAATAATTAACATCTCATAAATTATTTTAAATAAAATAAGTAACAATAAAAAGAATAAGAACTAAATTTGATAGATAAAAAATTTCAATTAAAAAATAATAGTAAAAACGTAAATAACAATTATAAAAATAAAGATCAAAGTTAATATAAAAATTAAATTTTAAGAGATGAAAATAAAAAATAAATATTTAAAATAAAATATATAAATCAATCAAAAATTTAAAGATCAAATTTGATATATTCAACAAATAATATAATATTTTTAAAATTTTCACAATTTTTATAAAGTATTTTTCTCTAAATGTTTCAGAAAAATATTTTTTTAAAAATTAAGTTAAATTTTTTTAACTAAAAAATATTTTTTGTTGATTAATTTTTTCTAATAACAAATAAATATAAAAAAAATTAAAGAACTAATTGAAAGCGTGTATAAAAAGGAGACGAACAGATAATTATGATGATGTGTTCCTTTGTTTAGTGGAACAAGAGCAATTCACCAACGTATATAATAATTTATCTAATAGACAAATAGCATGATTTTATATAGTGTAGTTCATTAAATTAAAATATATAGTGGGTTTTCTGTAACAATACTTACAATGCACCGGGGATGTAATAATGCTTTGTGAGTTTATTATTTTTTTGTTATTTTACTTTTTTTTATTTAATTTTTTTATTTTATATTATATTAATTTAAAATTAAATTTTATAATTTCTTTCGGTTATTTTTGTATATAAAACAAAACCAATGCTAGATTGTAACTAGTTTAGTAAAATCAAATTTAATTTTATTAATTCAAAATAATTTAAACTTCAAGGATTATATTAAAATTTAAGTAAATTTATAATTTTTTATTTTAAATTAATATGAATATCCGGATTAACTTGTATATATTATAATTAATTTTATAAATTTTAAAGTTAAGTAAATTTTTAATAATTATTATATAAATAATTAAAAATTCAAATTTAAAATTATAAAAAAAACAAACACCTAGATGATTGAGCCAGGTAGACTATGGACAGATGGTTCACGCATGTAATCCTAGTGCTAGTATGTGGTAACAGTTGCTGCCCAGTTATTGTGTGTGCGCATTCCTTCGAGCTCCTAAGATGGTCTTCTGCAATGCTGGTGGAATCGTTTCGACGATGACGTATTTATGAAGCGACACATATTAGTGTTGGAGGCCTGGTGTAGCTTTGATTATTATTATTATTTTCTATTCTCTCATTGGTTAGTCGTTTGACTTTCATTAAAATAAAAAAATAAAGTGTTATTTTTTTAATATTAAATTAAATTTTTATTTTTTTATTGTCTAATATTATATCGATGAGATATTAAAATTTATAATTTTTTCAGTTTATTTTTCATAAATAATTTCAATCTTATTATTTGAATTATAAATTTAGAAGTGATTTAGATTTTATTTGGATTATTTTTTTAATTATTTTTTTATTTTATTTTTCTATATTGAGTTGATTAAAAATTTAGTTTTATATTCAAAAAAAATTTAAGTCATTATGGTTTTAAAACTCAGATCACGGGTTTGACTAATTAACTCAAATTAACTCAAATTATTTTTTATTTTTATTTTAAATTATTATTTATTTTTAATTTTATTTTTCAATGTTACATTGAATGAAAATAAAATATTATATTTTTTTATTTGCTTTAAATATAAATATTTTATTCTCATGATTTTTTGGATCAAGTATTTAGTAAGTCAACTTGAGTCGATTCTAATTTTATTTTATATTTTTTTATAAATTTTTTTTCTTCAACATGTTATTGGATGTTTTTTTTTTTAGATTTATTAAAAATTTATTTAGATATTAAGTATCACCAATCAATAAACTTTTTTAATTCAAGAAATCATTAGAAGAATCTAATTCATCATTTAAGATCATGGACCAATCAATAAATTTATTATAAATCATTAAGTTTATAATCATCAAAGTGTGTGGCCACCAATTACCTCTCTATTTTTGACAGATCATTTCTTCCTACTAGCTAATAAAATTTACCAGCGTAATCATCCACATATCTATCTCCTTGCTTAGGTGTGCGAAGTCGCTAGTACAGAGTTTATGCACATACAAGAAGAATAAAAAATATTTCTTCATCTCCTCTCGGACACTAATTCTCGGTTTCCCATATGCCTCGAGTGTTCTCTATAATTGCTCCCATAAAACAAAGCTCGCTCGATGACAACTAACTTCAGTCTTGTCTACCTGGGGACATCATTGTGTCCAAAGGCTTTTTTAACCTCGTTCATCCAATCAATGATTTTTTTTACTTGCAAAGTCAAGAACCTTCACATGAAATCCAGAATCTCCATGATATTTTTCTCGATACAGAGGTTGTCTCCTCTACTTTAACCTCTAAAATGAGTTTTTGTTACTGATCATGTACCAATGACCACTCTCGTTTTCTTTGCATTAGGTCTGCTTTGCCACTTGTTGGGTCAATCTATAATCTGCCTCTACATGTTCTTCATCATCATTTCATACACTATTTTCTCTACAGGGGAAGCCTCTTCGTCCTATCTTGTCTTAGCTCTACTTTGCTATCTTTTCTAACCATAGTTAGTTAGCAACACACAACAAAAAAATAATCAAGAATCATTAGGTTTTAATATCAACTAATATATATATATAAAAAAGCACAAACACAATAAAAAAGTAAGGTAGAAAGACATAATTGAAGGCAAACAGGTACGTTGTCACTCAAAACTCGAATTTGTATCTTTATTACTAGATAAAATAATTATGATGTAATATGCTAAAAAATACAAGCTAAACAATTCTATTTATTTTAGAAAATTTCTAAATTATAAAGAAAAACTAAAATTACCAATTTTGATATTTAATTTTTTCAATTAAATTGGAAATGATAATAATAACTAAAAAAAATATACGAACCAATATAACAAATTCTTCAAAATGAATGTCTTTATAAATATAAAAAATATTTATACTTTATATTAGTAACTTCAAAACATATGTCAAGATAAATAGATACAGAAGCTTTTCGAACCGATATTTGAATGATCAAGTACCAGTTCATCCGTAAAAGAATACGAGGAAATTAAAGTAAAATCCAATTTAAAGTAATTAAGTGGATAATAATCCATGTAAAATAATTAAACAAATCAGCCATCCAATTGCAAAAAAGTTTGTATGGCTATAACAATAAATATTTACATTATTAGAAAAAAAAAGGTCTGAGGAAGATAAATTTTCAGTAAATAGAAAAAATAAAATTATATATAGTTCTATTAAAAAGTGATATGAATTTCTAAATTTGTTTTTCTCTCCTCATTATATTTATTTTTCTCCTAATAACGTAATGGAGTGAATTGTCTACATAATATTAATGATTTTTTAAATAAATAACAGACAACATGTGTGTGTATTAAATAAGAAATGCCAGCCATGACGATGATATATTCTCACATGAAAATTTAATTTAACAGTAATTTTGGATATATTAATTTTATTTTTAAAAAAATTATTTTTAACTTGGTAAAATTAACCGAGTTATGAATTCTCTATCCAAATTTAATTGAATCAATATCAAAATTATTTAAAATTAAAACTCGATGTAAATCGTCGATTTAAACAGTGAGACCAGGTTGGATTCAATGACTATTTTGAAGGCTGGGAGCATGAAGATTTTGACAGACAACCACAGTTCATGGGGACGGACGATGCTACCAGCTAGCCTACCCATATTTGGCTGTTCTTCACCTGGGAATATCGTCTCCCAGCACCGGGTGAGTCGCCAGGATTTCAATTTATAAAATGTTCACGCGTCACACAGCAACAGAAAGGGAAAGTATTCTCGAACAAAATCCATCCATACATTTGTTAACAATATGATCCTGGGATTTATGCGAGGAACCAACTAACCTAGAGCAACTTTAAAAAGAAAAAAAAAGAAATTGTAAAGCCTATCTTTAGTGATCTAGATCCTAATTAATTATAAATAATTATCAACTTCCAAAATTCAATGGAAGTAGCCTCGTTGAAGTGGATCACGATCTCAACCCTAATATAATAACATTTTTTTTTTCAAATTAGGGAAAAAAAATGAATGGAGAGATGTGTTAATTTGCTGTATTTGGCTTGGGGTTCGGTAACATGCATCATTTTAATAGCTTGCCTAAATAAATATCTGATCTAGCCGGTTAATGTGCAATTTGATTCCTTGAGATAATGATTTATTCATTATTCGATGGATTTCGATTATTACAATTTAATATCTCAACTTTGATTTTTATTAATTTTTTTATTTAATAATAATTTAGTTTATAAAAGGTATTTTGTTCTGAATGAATTTCTTCTAGTTTGTTTTGTTTGATTTTTAAAATTTTAAATTAAAATTGAAATAGTTTTTAAAATGTTTTTAACTAAATTATCAATAAAAAAACATGAGAGTTTGCTTCTTCTTCTTCTTTTTTTTTTAACTAAAATGAATAGAGAGATGTTTTTGTTTTGTTTTCTACTCATATCTGATTCTTTGGAATCTCTAACATGATTGAAAGATATTTAGAATATTCTTACATGATCATTTAAAATAAAAGGAAATTAACAAAATCCGAGAGTTTGCCCGTTTATAGCTAGCCTTGATCCTTCTTGCTTTGCTTGGATTTTATGATGAGCAAATTCTTTACTTGACTCTTCTATTTATACTGAACCTAAATCTTTTTTAGAATTTGATAAATCATCTATATCTAAATTAAATTTATTTATAAGAAATATTTTTTTTCTTATAAGTTGTCCTAGAAAGCCAATAATCACACAAGGGTCCAAAGCCATGTGAAAGGGGATTATAATCATAACTTAAAAACCATGCTCTCAGGAAGAAAATCTGTATATTTTCCTATCATCTTCTGCCATGTACACACATGCCATGTACAAGTAGCAAATCTCATCATTAAGAATCCTCAAGATCCCATCTCAGTGGTAGTGCTTCTATACCTTCTCCCAAAAACCCATTTCAGTCATGGCATTCTCTGTAACAATTTCTTGCTACGACAATTTACTTCTGAAAAAATCCATCAATGGCCTATACACCCAACCTAGAGCCTCATTAGACCACATCAAGTTCTTTCACATGAAAACTCAAGCAACCTATGCTGCAAACCCATCTTTCGAGCAATCGTTTAGAGCCCATGAAGAAAACAACAAGCCACAAAAGGTCCCTTTACCGCCATTCGGATTTAAGGAGTACATGATCCAGAAGGGAAATCGAGTGAACAAAGCACTAGATGAGGCAGTGCCCTTGCAACATCCCAGAAAAATCCATGAAGCCATGAGATATTCTCTCCTTGCAGGTGGAAAGCGTGTACGTCCAATTTTATGCATTGCTTCGTGTGAATTAGTGGGAGGAGATGAGGAATTAGCAATGCCAACGGCTTGTGCACTGGAGATGATACACACCATGTCGCTAATCCATGATGATCTTCCTTGTATGGACAATGATGATCTTAGACGAGGTATGCCCACAAGCCATAAAGTTTTTGGTGAAGATACAGCAGTTCTTGCTGGTGATGCACTCCTAGCACTTGCCTTTGAGCACGTAGCTAGAAATACCAAGAATGTCTCGTCGGACCGCGTGGTCCAAGCCCTTGCTGAGCTTGGATCTGCTGTTGGATCAAAAGGTCTTGTGGCAGGTCAAGTTGTGGACATTGAAAGTGAAGGTAAAGAAGTGAGTTTGAGCACACTGGAGTACATTCATGTCCATAAAACAGCAAAGCTTTTAGAGGCAGCAGTTGTTTGTGGGGCAATAATGGGAGGGGCAGATGCTACAAGCGTTGAAAGACTTGGAAAGTATGCTAGATCTATCGGATTGTTGTTTCAGGTGGTGGATGATATACTGGACATGACCAAGTCCTCCGAGGAGCTAGGAAAGACCGCCGGCAAGGATTTGACCAGTGACAAGGCTACATACCCTAAGCTGATCGGCATGGATGAGGCCAAGAAATTTGCTGCCCAGTTGACTGATCAAGCTAATCAAGAACTTGGTTTCTATGATCCTGTTAAGGCTGCCCCATTGTACCATTTGGCTAGCTATATTGCTAGTCGACAAAATTAACTGGGTTCATAATTATGCATGTTCAGGACTTCACCTTGTTTGTTTAAGGATACAATAAGATGTGTTGCTTCTCAGTAAATTCTTGTTACTGTATGATAACGATGAGAGAAATTAAAAAAAAAACATTTTTAATCATAAAACTCTAAATTTGATTAAACAGGTAATTTTGAACATGTTGGGTTTCATTTCAAACTAGTTTGAAAATTAATTATATCAAATCTAATTGATTTGATTAAATTGTATTTTATATTTTTTTATTTAAAATGCTATTGTTTTATTTTAAAAAATTAAAAAATTATTGTTTTAAATTAATCCAAAATAACTCAAAAAATTCTTAATCTAAGGTAAATGTACGTTAACTAAGTATTTGTCTGCCATTACATTAATTGGGTCATATTTTGAATGTTGCGTCAATAAATTTCATTGCTGATGAAACTATTTATGGTCATTATTCCCAATGATTTGAGAACCAAAAATAATTAAAGCAACAAATTATATGTTTAATATTTAGATCATAGCTATAAAATATGCCTAGAGGATGGACTTGAAATAAGGTTTGGATTACAAATTAAAAGAATTAAATCTGATTCATTTATTTAAAAAATAATAATAAAAAAATAGTATTTTATTAAAAAAAATTAACACATAGAGAGCTGAGTTTTTATTAGATTTTATCTTTAATTAGGTAAGATTCAGTCACTACTTTTTTTTTCTTTAATTAGAATAAGTTTAATTTATTTATAAATTATTTTTATAGAAATTAGAGTGGAAAAGTCAAATCAAGCAAATGATTTTTAAATCCTAACCCCCAATGACAATGCATCCTGTGATTTCCACAAAAGTAATTGAGTCCTTAATATTTTGGATTTCTGCAAAGATAGTCCCTCTCTTCAAATTTGTTAGAGATTTCCTTTAAAATCATAATTATTATCTTAGGAGGGACACGCGTCACAATTCTTATGCGCTAAATTTGAGTCAAAGTTTGACTATTGATCACCGACCCTTAAACTTTATCGAAAATTGGTAATAGAATTTGTTTGGGTATTGCATTGCCCTAAAATTGAAGACACAAGGACCTAGCTACTTTTTATCGAACTACAAGGTTCAATATGACTTGCTCTTTAAACTGCAGGGGCAAAACCCTCATCAACATTCTTTTATTATTATTATTATTATTATTATTATTTTTTAATTCTTAAAGAAGTGTCCTCCACCAAGATCCCATCTCAAGCAATCATGGCCTTCTCTGCAATATTCCGGAGCTTTAACAGTTCGTTTTTTCTCAAATACTCCATCAATCACCTTAAAAATCCACCAAAAACCCCACTAGGCCACCTCTATCTTTCCACCATGAAATTTGCAAGCTCGACTCTGAAGCAAACGAATCAAACCCAAGAAGTCCCTTCACTTGCATTTCAGTTTAAAGAATACAGGTTCGCCAAGTTGAAGCGAGTGAACGAAGCACTAGAAGAGGCAGTGCCTTTGCAACACCCCATCAAAATCCATGAAGCAATGAGATATTCCCTCCTTGGTAATGGAAAACGAATGTGTCCGATTTTATGCATTGCTTCGTGTGAGTTGGTCGGAGGAGATGAAGAACTAGCGATGCCATTGGCATGTGCTCTAGAGATGGTGCACGCGATGTCATTAATCCACGATGATCTTCCTTGCATGGACAATGATAATCTTAGACGAGGCAAACCCACAAACCATAAAGTATTTGGTGAATGTATTGCAATTCTTGCAGGTGATGCACTCCTGTCACTTGCTTTTGAGCACATAGCTAGCAAGACCAAGAACGTTTCGCCAGACTGCGTGGTTCGAGCCATTGCGGAGCTTGGTTCAGCTATTGGGTCAAGAGGTGTAGTAGCAGGCCAGATTGTGGACATTGATAGTGAAGGAAAAGAAGTAAGCATGAAGACGCTAGAGTATATTCATGTCCATAAAACAGCAAAGCTTCTAGAGGCATCTGCAGTTTGTGGGGCAATAATGGGAGGAGCAGATGATGCAAGCATTGAAAGGCTTAGAAAATATGCCAGGTCTATTGGGTTGTTGTATCAGGTGGTGGATGATATATTAGATGCAACCAAGTCCTCAGAGGAGCTAGGAAAGACAGCCGGGAAGGATTTGGCAAGTAACAAGGCTACATATCCCAAGTTGATGGGCATAGATGAGGCCAAGAAATTTGCTGCTGAGTTGGTTGAGCAAGCCAAAAAAGAAATTGCTAGCTTTGATTCTGCCAAGGCTGTCCCGTTGTTCCATTTAGCTGACTGCATAGCTAGTCGACAGAGTTAGCAAGGTTACTCTAAAACATCCGTGATTTTTGCAGGGTTTGTATACAGAGATACACAAAAAATGCCCTTTCAATTATTTTTTCATGTCCCATTGCAATAGATAATATTTTATTATTTTCAACAAACACTACATTCATTCTAAAATTGGTTCAAATTGCCTGCCTTCAGTGAGGATGGAGTTTGAATGTTGCTTCAATGCTGTATCAAACAGTAAGAGTTTGTTTCATGGAGAAGGGCTCCTCCGTATCTTCAGAAGGCACCATGGAGATACTTGTTTTTTGTTGCAAATTTTCTTTAATTCCACCAATGCAAGACAGCGTTCAACATACTTCACTCCATCATTGACAGGGAGTCGCAAACAATTGCCAAGCCTGCAGGAAGAAACAGGAAACAACTAGGATTCCTCCGCGGTCTAGATTTTTGTCATCTATAAAGATCTACGCAACCTCAAAAACTGATTGAAACTCTTTTCAGAGTGGGATCATAAAAACACAACAATTAGAAGGAACTAAACCATCACATTCTCCTGCTGTGCATGCCAAGCGACAACATCTTTATATGGTAAGTTACCCCCAAATATATCAAGAGCACTGCCCACAGTAAGATCCACGCATCTGTCTCCTGCCACCTTTATTCTTTCAAAATCAATCATTATTGTCACACCGCCAGCATAAGTCACAGGGATCTGACCCACCCAAACCGCAATTCATACATTAAAACAGTGCATAAAGACAGCCACATATTAATGCATAATGACCTGCTGTGCTGTGTTCTATTGAAAAAAGCTAGCATTGCAATTAAAAACTGCTAATCCTGGATTCAGTTAGAACTCCGAAGATCAGTTCCATGTCCATCAGAAACTACTAACCAATGGTTCACAACCACTTGCACACCACAGACTCCTCCACATCAACAGCTAAAGAGGGTATCAATTTATGGCAATTTTAACTTTAGGCATATATAAAACATTTCTTGGTTAGTTTATAGCAGTCATCCTGATAGGACCTGTCACCAAGGTAGATGGTTTCTTTTGCTTTCTACCATGTAGCACATAGATATTATCATCAAAGATGTCACGGCCCGAATCCCGGATCCATGACCGGCATATAGGCAAGGTTCCCCTCTAAGGTTTCATACCTATGCGAACCCAAACTTACACACAAACTTATCCTAACTCAATCAGAGTTTAACGCAACATTAATAACAAAATCAACTTCATAATATAATTGAATTGTCTTAATATAAGAGTTAATATAATTTTATAGTTTTGGAGCACTAATTAAACAATAAATGAGTAGGAAAATACAATAAAGCCCTTGATGGCTTAACGTGTGGGTATAAATGAATGAGGGGTAGTGTAGTAATTCAACAAAACATGATAAATATAAATAAGGAGTTAAAAAAAAAAACAACAAAAGAGGGATCTGGAAATTTGAGAGAGAATCGGCAGGAGAGAGAAGGGAGAAAGAAGAAGAAGAGGGGAATTAGAAGAAAAATAGAAAGGAGTTGAAGGAATTAAGTTTAAAGGTAAGATTATGTATAAATATGTGTTAATTAAGCTTTAATTTCAGTTTTGATAAATGTTAGGGTTTTGAAAATTTGTGTTTTGGGTTAATTGATGAATTAAGTTAAAAATTACCATTTGACCCTAAAAATTTGATAAAATTACAGAATGGTCCCTGGAGTATAATGAGGTGATCTGGACAGAAATGAGGATTAATTATGTCAGAATTTCAGTATAGTCATGGACTTATGATAATTTTATCTTTTATTATATGAAATTATCATAAGTCCATGACGAAATTCTGACCATAATTAATCCTCATTTCTGTCCAGATCACCTCATTATACTCCAGGGACCATTCTGTAATTTTATCAAATTTTTAGGGTCAAATGGTAATTTTTGTCAAATTGAAGGACCAAATTGAAAGTGTTAAAATTTCATAACTATACAGGAATTCTGCCCATAATTTATCTTTTATTCTGTTCAGAATCTCGGAATAGGCTCCAGGGACCAATCTGTAAATTTTCCAAAGTTTGGGGACTAAACTGTAATTTCCACAAATTGAAGGACCAAATTGAATTTTCGTCATCTTCAACCTCAAACCCAAAATTTTCACAGATTACCTACTGTTATCCCCTGATTTCTAACACAAATTCATCATTCAAGCAAAACCATAACTCAAAATCATCATTTTTATCTACAATCTCTCAAATTTAACTTAACAATTCATTACCCACAACAATCAACCCATAACATTCAACTTAATTCATCAATTAACCCAAAACACAAATTTTCAAAACCCTAACATTTATCAAAACCAAAATTAAAACATAATCAACACATATTTATATATAATCTTACCTTTAAACTTATTTCCTTCAACTCCTTTCTATTTTTC